GGTTTATTGATCGAGAGTCCACATTAATCACTCAGCTAGTGTAGACGAGTCCATTGGAAAAAGAAACCGTTTCATTTGAATTGGAAGTCCTCTTCATATGGGGGGGGGTTATTAATCACGAGTCTACATTAAGTACTCAGCTAGTGTAGCCGAGTCCATTGGAAAAAGAAACCGTTCCATTTGAATTGGAAGTCCTCTTCATATGGGAGGGTTTATTAATCAAAAGTCTACATTAATTGGACATAATTGGCCAAAAAATGTCCGTCCTTTTTTGGCCATTTTTGGGCGCCAGCAACTGCAAGCCCTGCCATGAGCGTTCATCGCACAGAGTCCATGTTTTTTTTGACCTGAAATTGAAGCGCTTACACTCTGACTCACTAACACGGAAGTGGACACTTTCTTGCCACGTTGGTGAGTTGGAGTGTATGCAAATGTTATAAAATGTTGGAATATATATATATATATATCACCATTTTTATTCTCCACCTGTCCTTTGTGCTTCGAAGGTTCCGGATTTCCCCCCCGTCATACCTTTCTTCATGGCGGAGTTCCTTCGGCCAAACTTTGGCAGTTGTGGGACCATCAAGCCCACCATCGATTCCAACGCATCCATGGGAATCGATGGGGAGTACTGCAGTGCATGGAAATGACCGGATGCTTTCCCAGGGCGATGCCTCTTAAGATGTACATACTTTCCCTGAAATAATCATGGGAAGTGGGTGGCATAGCCCCTGGAAAGACCATAGCAGGGGATGGTCCACTTCCATGATCAGTTTAGGGAGTTTTAGGGAGTGTGCAGTGCAGCATCGGTGTAAGTGCATACATTGGTACAATTGTTGTATATAAATTACCCTAAGAATCCGGGCCCTCAAATAGATAGGGTTTTGAGGCCCCGGACCCCTGCCATGGAGGGTCCGACCCCTGCCATGGACAGCCCAAGGATTCTTAGGGTATATTAAATTACTATATATATATATATACCAGGACCCTCCAAGGGGTGCCCTGTCTGGAAGCCTAGGGGGGGTAGTGTGGGGTAGTTCATTGGACACCCCTTGGAGGGTCCTGGTATACATTATGTGTGCCGTGCAGCACGAGACACACAAATGATCACAAATGTACACACAACATCTATATCCATTGACCGTTGCCGGGACAATAGCTTTGCCGACCTGGGGCGTGTTTGTGGACGGCTGATCACATGCAACTGGTATGTTCAGTTTCACTTCTGAACAGCGGTGCATTGCCATGAACAGCCACAACTTTCAGGCCTCAAGAAGACCTTAAGATTGGGTTCCAACCACCAAACTTGGAGGTAACTTGTGCCATCTACAGTACTCTCAATCCACGAAAAAAAACTCGATGGTAGGTTGGATGTTTAGGGCGTGCCTGACTATATGACTGGAACATATACCTGGGTTTCCCCAGTCCCAACCAGAAACACGTTTGGTTGTTCCAACAGGGCAATTGTTTGATCCTTTACATATATAGCAAAGTACTGTGGTTGTTTGTGGAAACATCCCATTTCTGGTTGGGACTGGGGAAACCGCACCCATGATGTGGACCTGAAGCCTTGTGACCAGACGTCTTGACTCTCCAGGACCCGGAGCACCGGAAGACCAAGCGGAGAAGCTCGTCTGAGAAGAACGCGACGTGGACATCGGCGGATGGGTTGGCTGCAACTTCTTCAGGGTGGAAGCAAGATCTAATGCTCCAAGGAATGGATATACAGTACTTCTAGATTTGTGATGATTTGTGTGTGTTTATTTTTTAATGGGACCGTCGGTACAGAAGAACCATGAAGAACATCGCGATGTTTGGAGATGGTTGCAGGCCTGCTTCTCCGAGAGAATGGTTGTCCCACAGACAACACGGAGTCGGCACAGACGGTCACCTTCACCCACCCCACCACCATCACACCGACCCTGGAGCGATGTGCTGGGTGAAAACCCTCGCGGCCGAAGAGGAGTACTGGTGGCTTCCCAGTAAGGGAGCGACGAAAACCCCAACGTTTCCGCACTTCTGTTGGGAAAGATCAGGGACATCGGACATCAGGCGGTTTTCGCAGCAACTAGATCTACGGTAAATGGCCAGTAAAGCCCTTTTGGCCCGTTCTCCGGTCCTTTTTGCGGCCGTGGTGAGGTTTCCCCATTTGTGCGGATGTTGGGAGATGTAGTCGGACCTGCTTGGATCGACGAAGATGTGGAGCAAATAAGCTCTATTTGTGCATACTTGGAACTACTATGATGCAAACTTAAGCTGGACCCAGCAGCAAGAGTTTTCATGCACTTGAAATGGCCGTTTTTCAAGACATGTTCATGTCGATACATGTTTTTTTTACACACTATAGTATACAGTTGCGAGCCAGCCGAACTCTGATGGAGTCGGGGCCTGCAGTCCGGGTGGAATTCCAAACCGCATCGAAGCACTAGGGATCCAAGTACCTTCTCAGGTACGGTTATTGTAGACACTGTTATGTAGGTTCGGAGGGTCCAAGTACCTTCTGAGAAGGTACTTGGATCCCTAGGGAACCATATCTATAGTCTATAAACCTGTCCACCAGTCATTGGGGCGTGGGGTTCGCCATTTCCACAGATACAACCAGCCATTGCCCTAGCAATGGACACTTGCCTGGTTTGATGTAAGATTCATGTATCAGGGCTTGGGGATCCGTGGCTTCTTCTCAGTAGCCACAAGACATCACAAGACCATTGAAAAGTACGTCCACTGACCACACCAACAGGGAGAAACACCCAAGGAAGAACAGAGCTCTACCGCACCTTCGAAGAGCAGCGCTGGACCTGGTACAAGACCTTGGCGACACCGATCGCCACACCTTCCCCCGCTGCGGCCGTAACTGCGGCTGTCACAGCGCGATCCGCTGCAGCGAGCCGACATGTGGAGCCAGTGAAGCCAAAGGTGGAGTCTTGGAGAGGTAGCCGACCGTGACCATAGCACCCGGAAAACCTGGGGTACCTATACAGTATGGGGTCGAAATAGCTCTGGAGCGGCACAATGTGGGATAGTCGGCTTAACCGAGAACGAGGGCCTTAACGATCGAATTCTGCAACGACCTGTGGTTAGAAGGCATGCAATGTGGGTAGAAGGCGAGGCGTGCTGACCTGGACTTTTGAAGTGTTTCTACAACTGACCTGCTAAGCCTGCAGCATAGCAGGCTATGTGTGAGTTTTCTAGAACAGAAATCAATCACCATGCTAGCTGACCGACTTGGAATTGGCTCATACGATCCGAAACCACATGCTTTTCATCAGTCGGATTTCCACCTGACGTCACAGTTTCAGTCGAGACGGCTAAGCCACGCTTACCCGTCACGGCTAAGCCCGTTGGTATGGACATCCCAAAAGATCCAAAAGACTAGGCCGGGTCTCATGTGGGCCCAGTTCATGAAGACCACTCCGCCAGTTGATGAGGACCGGGAAGAAGCAGACCCTCCACTTCATCGGCTTGGATCGGCACGGCCCATCCTGCTGGAGACCGTGGAGGAAGAGCTGATGTTGGAGCTGGATGAGGCCCTGGTAGAGAGCTGGAGCGTTTTGGTTTGTTATTAATAGAAGGTAGATGCTGTTGGAGTGAAAGGTCTCTTGTGATACGGGGATGTCCTCAGCCGTGATGTGAATGAATGCAACATAGAGACGATCCAGAGTCTGTAGACCTTGAGATCAAGTGAGGAACGTGCGGAATGCATGGGTTTTGGATGCTTGGAGAGACTTCTGAAGGTGCGAAGTCTGCTTCACTCCGGTTCCAGCCCCGAAAAATCCTCACATCTGCATGGCTCCTGGCTCGCTAAGGCGAGTGTTTCGCGGTTTGCACCAGAAAAAACAGAACGGTCATTGCCATTGCGTGTTTTTGCACTGAAACCACCTTCCAAGCAGAACTTCTCAACAGAGCCCCAACATGACGGATGTGGCCACCCGACGGATGTGTTCTTCTTCAACAGCCGATATACAAGGGTCCAAGGCAAAAGTTCTTCATGCGGTTTTGGGTCCTGAAAAGTAAACACGACCTGTTTGGGACTGGAAGAGTTTTCTACATGGATGGGTCAGGAGAACATGGGTAAATGTTCGCAACTATTCCAGTCCCATGAAGTTTTTTGGGCTGGAACTCAGAAATGACCTTTATGTTGATGTTGATGAGAAGTTTGGACATTTTGGGGGGTGCTTGAGCTTGGTTGTCCAAGAATCACAGGGGTTCTATGTACCACCATACACTGGGGGCGAAGTACCCTAGAGGTAAAGTACCATAGGGCATTCCAAGATGTTCCCAGCCATTAGTTGTCAAGTACCCACAAAAGTACAGGTGTTGTGTGAACATCTCCCCGTTGCCTTCTGTAACTTGGAGTAGCAGTGAGTAGCAATTCTCAAGGTGGTTGGATTGTGCTTTTGGGGAAATCCCCTTGTATAAATTGCTGTGCATGTGCTTTCCCAACCAAATCCAGTTATGATGAGGAAATCCAAATATAACCTCTCTCCGGTGGTTCTTAGTCTAAATCCAGCTCTCAACACAGCGAAGAAGTGGGTCTGTTCATCCCAAGAGGAGGTTCTATGAGCAACGCCAAGTAATCCTGATGTTGGGTGCATAGGCGTTGAACGCCTCGTTGAACCGTTGAACATTCAAACAAAGCAATCGAAAAGTGCGTTGCTTTTTCTATGGTTCCTGATTCCTGATGGTTCATGCTAAACTTTGCAGCACATGACGGAATCCATCCGATCCAATCGAGGGATACAGTCTGGGGGCAGTCGCATGATTTTGGACCAACCAGCTCGGGAGGTTGGTTCCAATTCAGCGACTGGTTGGATCGCAGATTCTAAGCTTTCTGTTTCTTCCAGACTTCGGATTCTCAGATCCCCTGGCATCAAGTTGGTGGGCTTCATTTCTGGTGAAACAGATCCCGTACCCCAAGAATTGTTTGGGTTGATCGTCACGTCAATCGCATCACGTCGCGCCTCCCCTACTCTTTGTGTTCCCATCGCCACCTTTTTTCCCCGACATCGGCCGTGGCCTTCGATGGGTTCAGCGGCTGCGCAACCCTTTTGATGGAGGTGCCGCTTCGGGAGATCCTTACCAGACCATGCATGGGACTGGAATGCTTGACTATGGTTACATTTGCTTTTACAGTAGTTAGATTTACAGTAACCCATGTATGAAGATTGATGACCCTCAATTAATGGCAGCAACTCTTCCGCACATGGATGGTCTGGGATTCGTTGGGCAGGACGGAGGGAGTGGAGAGCCCTTTCATCGGTTAACGTAAACCGTTTGATTTGCAACACCCCCCATGACATGGATTCTAACATCTCATATCATCTCATCCTATCGGGGAGGCTTATTATTCCCCAAACAGTGTGGTCGCACTGCTCGGGGTTCTTGTGGTAGTTGTTAAGGCCGGGTGTTTGATTGGTGGAGCTCGCATCCATCGTTACAGATGGGAGGTTTTAGTGTATGTTTTATATTTATATCCCCTAGGGCTCCAACCATATCAGAAGGTGGTTAGACTCCCCTGGCACCAACCCCAACCATCTTCTCAGGAGGTAGGCCAGGAGCCCTAGGGATCAAGAGTCCACATGAAAGATGCCAGCCCCATCGCTGGGGGACTTGGGAATTCTTCGAACCTCCGCACAGAGGTTCGGTGCGGGGGGGGGTGCGTGGAGGATGGCTTTGAAGATGTAGAAGTTGGACCGCCAAAATCAACTCACTTCCCCTATCTCATCAGGATGGTCCAATAAGTTCGTAGAAGGCTGGGGGGGAACTCTCAAATCTGAAAGGCACTTTTAGTATCTTTTGGTGGGGGAAGGAGACCAATTAAGAAAATTCAGTGTGGTTTGGACGAGTCAGGGCTGCGTGTTACACGCCTCTCCATATGCTTGCCATGATTTCTGGGAACTCTCATCGGTTTCTTGTGCAAGAGTTCGGTTTTGGGAGCCCACTTTGACAACCTTACCATCCATGGCGCCTACATTGACCCCCTTTTCAGGACAATGCATTCCAGTGCGGCAGGCATACTCACTCCTGGTGGTGCTTCAGGTGATGTTTTGTATTCCGGTGTTTCTTCGGAATATGTGGTGTTTTCTATCCAGATTCCTGTATTCAGCAAAACCAAGTACTTCCTGGAACCCCAGTCCCAACCAGAAAGAAATGGATGGAACTCCCCAGTCCCAACCATTTCCGTAAAGGATTTCAAGCAAGCCATATTGGAACAACCAGACGTGTTTCGGATGTTGTTTGGGGTTCCAGTACTTGGAGTCTTGGAGTCTGGGGTTCTTTGTTTTCGGCCAAAACGCCTAACGTCACCTGGCACGTTGCCTTCGGAAGCCCATAAGAAGAGAAGAGGCAGGCCTCGGACAGGCCTTTCCAACCTGCTTCGCCAGCGGGGCGAACCAGCTGCCCCGGACGGACGCGCAGCAACGACGCCAGGTGCGCCGCAACGACGCGCAGCCACGACAGCGATGGGAGTCGGACTTCACGGCGAGAAACAGAGCGGCATTCAGAGGCAAACGGAAGGGTAGTGCACAGAAAAGGGTTTTGCAAAAACCTATTCTACTAACATCGTGGAAGGCGCGGGACATTCGTAGAACCCAAGGCTATTCGTGGACAGTTCGTGGAATGGTGGGCCAGTAGGAGAACTGACTGACTGCAACGAAATCCCAGAAAGCTTCGCAGAACTTCGTGGAAGGTATTTTTGATGCACTAACTTCGTATAAGCGATTTTTGCTGACCCCCTTTCTCCACACACCCTCCATTTAGCCTTCAGGCATGTTCTGAGGTGTGTGTGTGTGTGTCCACCCCTGGACAAAGGGTTTCCCTCGACCACTCCAATCAGGCAGGGGCGTGTGGCACTCTCGCCCTACCACACGCAACGAAGCTGTGGGCGAGAGTGGGAAGCGGGGCCTGATCAGCCCTGCGTACCTGCCGTTTTTTCAAGCTTTGACTCCACTCTTCTTTGTTTTGTTGCCATGGTGATTCATGATACCTCCCACAAACAGGTTTTCCTTTGCCGCCGTCAGCTGCCGCGCGTTCAAGAACTGCAGATGTGCGCAAACCATTTTTTGAAACATCTTCAAGTTCTCCGACCTTTTCACCTTTCGGTTCCATCACCATTTTTGACCTGGGAACTGAGTTAACTGAATACAATTGTCAGAGTGTGTTTCGCTCAGCCGTCCCACTCGGGTGCTGAGTGTGATTCCCGTCACTGGGGCGCCGATTTTGCATGGGAAAGCAACAACCACAAAGCACCACCACTCACTGGACTTTCACAGGAAGTCACCGACACCCTCACCGAATCAACTGACATACTGGCCGCCGGGCCAAAAAACGGTTCTTGTGGAATACACCAGATATCAGTTTTCAGATTTCGGATCGGCTAAGTATTCACATGCCTGCGCTGCTAAGTATTCACAGGCCGGATGAATTCATCATGCACAACCCCCCCCCCCCCCCCCCCCCCCCCCCCCCCCCCCC